ATTAATAAATAACTACATTTTTAATTAAATAACACTCCGTAGCCTCAGTGTTCAAGAATAGCTACAGTATTTTCCAAACGTCTAGAACTGCAGTTTTAAATAAGCACAGTGATTTGATAGTTGAATGGTCTCTTAGAGGTTTTAGTGAATAGTTTTTGCCTAAACTAATTGAAAAAATATCCAGCCAGATTTATTTATTCCTCTCTCCCAAATTCTGTCCCTTGCTCTAGTCTGTAGTTTAACCAAAGGACATTTCTCCAAGAGGACCATAATGCCAAGAAAACTGAACAAGCATTAGATATATATACCTTTTTAAATTTAATTTACAAAAAGGAAGGGGTGAGTAAAATTTTAAACACGAGTTAATGCACTCAGTTCAGCAACATTTCTTGGGGCCAAAGCTCCTTATCCATATTGCCAGATTTTTTGCCTCCCAGGCCTGGCCAGCTCAGCTCAGCTTGGGAGGCAGTGTCCTTGGTTCCAACAACTGTTGCTGAGCAGAGAAAAGAAGAGCCTGAGGGCTGTTTCCCTCCCAGGGGAAGGGCACATGACGTTTTGGCTCTTTACCTAGAACCTGGTGAAGCAGCGAGTGCTTCACTAAGGCTTCTGGTGAATATGGCCACAGAGAACCAGGCTGGCATCAGTTTCCTCTTGCAGCAGGGCACTCCTGGGCCTAGGTCAGAACCAGGTAGTAGCCATCTGGATTCTGCAATGAAAGAAGTAAAAAGGGTACCACTAGGATGAGACTGGCCCCCAACCACCATTACTGTGCTGCTCCAGAACCTCCAAAAGGCCTGCATTGCATCTGCCTCACCCGTGTTCTTTCAACCCCACCTCGAATCCACCTGTTTGGGAAGCCTCCTGCAGTGTAGCAGGAGGGACAGAAGGCAGGCATCCAAATAACCAGAACAAGGTGACTGGTCAGCAAGCACCTGCCCTTCTGCAGTGTATATTACAGGTTAGGTGAGGTGGGAGAGAGAGGGAGCCTTAATAAATTCCTGAAGAGAAGCGGGCATTTTTTTCCTTCACGAGAATACATTTATTCAGTCACGTTTTTCCTGAGCAATAAATAGCTGTCTTTCAGCTATATGAATCTCTGTCCTTTTGACACAAAGCTGGCATCTCCCTCTAAAACCCCTACCTTTCTTCACCACAGCCACAGAGTACGATTCATCCTTAAGATTCTGAACCACCTGCAAGGAAGGTGTCACTAAGACAGTTCAGTTCTTAGAGCCAAAGAGAACCAGGGCAGGGAGAGGGAAACGAGTGTTCAGGCCTTTGTGGGGCCTTACAGGGAACTGCTTTCCCTTTACGTGGTCTTTGAAAATGAGGATGCCCCCAGGGCCCTGGTGGAAGAGGCAGTGGATCTGATTAGCTGGGAGGGCCAAGAGCTCTGCCAGTTTCCCCATGAGCCCTACTGCACTGAGTTCATCCAGAGAAATCTCTTGATAAAAGCCTAGGGTGCAGGTAGCACAGGGGCAGGGGTCGGTGGGGTGGGGGGCGTCCAGAGGGAGCCTCTGATACCAGGAGGACGAGAGGGCATGGTGACAGCCTCATAGGGAGTGGGGTGAGGGGTGAGGGAGAAGGAAAAAGACAAATCCACTTAGTTTTCACTTCTTATTCCTCACCTTTGGGGAGTTCTCAGACTGAGGGGAGCCCCAAGTTGAAAAGAGGGGATGGGACATCTACATATAAAAGACTGAAACCCAAGTATGATAAGGTTACAATGTTCTAATCCCACTACTAATAGAATGACAAAATCAGATGGAGTTAGGTTGTAGAACATAGAAGAATAAACCCAGGGAGACGTCCTGGAAGGAAAGGACTCATCTGGTCATGGAAGACAGGGGAATGCCAGGGAGGACATCATGGGTCCCAGAAATGGTGGAGCATCACTTTCCAGGCCAGAAGAGGTTTCACGCAGTCACACCTGAATTTCTTGTCTTCCGGAGAGAGAGGCCAGAACCTCACCTGAGTCAAGGTTCTTAGGAACCTCGTTCTCTTGCCTAGATGCTGCCTGAGCCACATAGAAAGCCAGGGACGTATGGGCCTGGGCCAGGGAAACAGTCAACGTATCAGCCCTTCACACCTGAACTAACAGCTCCCACTTAGAGCCCCCATCCCTGGGAGAGACCCCGCCTCTTTCTTAGGCATTTAATGAATACTGAGAGAGAGAAGATGACAAAAATCCATCTCTGTCCCCCGAAGTTGAGTGCTGTAGAGGGGATGGCCACAGAAAAAAGGTCACAGGAGCCTAAGTTTTTAATCCAGCCCTGCCAGCCTTGTTCTGTGACCTCAGGCAAGTCAGTGTCCTTCTTGGGCCTGAGTTTCTTCCTCTGTAAAATGAGGGAGTAGAATAAGAGGTCTTGAAGGTGACTTCTGGCTTGAACATTCTATGAAACATTACTGCTAGCTGAGTTGGTAGGTGCCACTATAGTGGGAAAGGGGATCTGATTGGCAGTGTCCAGCACCTGGCTCTAAGAGTGTCGAAAAGGCGGATCCCATCGGCAGCCCCACAGATCTGGTAAAGGTCCCGGCAGGTAAGCTTCAGCAAATCAGTGCCTGAAGAATCAGACAAGGTCAGATTTGGGAGGAAGAGGCCTGGGATCAAAGGTGGCCAGGGACACAGTCCAACATTAGTAACCCTAGTATGTCCAAACCTGAGAGTCAGACTTGGATTCAAATCTGACCATCATTATTTAACCTCTTGGAGCTCTGTCCTCAGGGGGGTAGTATATGGGATAATAATATAAGAGAAGAGAGTTTAGCAAGCATGGTGCCTGGCAACTCTTAGTCTTAAATAAAAAGTTATTTGAAGGGCGCACAACAAGCCAGGACAGAAACAGGCCTCCTGCCTAAGTATCCCACCCTCAGTCCCCTACAAGTCTGGTTCCTGCCAGACCCCAGACTCACCAGTGAAATTGGCTAGCATCCAGCAGTAGCTGGAGAACCGGTGCCGATGCAACCACTGCCGCGTCTCTAGGGTGGAGGCTCCTGAGTTCAGATCCTGAGGCATAAGAGGGAGGCTGGGATAACACCCCAGACCCACGGACTGAGAACGAGGGGGAGGGGAAACACAGCCTCTGCCCTTAGGAGCCCCAAGTCTGAGAGGGGAGACTCATTTTGCTGGTGGGAAGTGCCTGGTCCTAACAGAGAAGTTTTGCAACCTGTGGCCATACCACATCTGTCCACCAGGGAGCAGGGCCACTACTCTGGAGAGTAAGATGAAGATGTTGAGAAGGCTCTGGGATAGTGGGTGGTGGGGTTGGAAAGGAAACTCACCTCAGCTGCGCTGCCCACCAAGGTGTCCAACACGAATGATGGTGAGCAGCAGAGCCTATGGGGAAGCAGAGAGTCAGGGGCTCTGCGGAGCAGTGCAGCCAGTCTCCCGCCCCACGCACCCTCCCCCAGGCCTGCCCTGGGAGGCAGAGCTTGCCAATGTCACTCACACGTTCCCCAGAGGCACAGGGCTGAGCCTCTGTCCCTGCCTCAGCTGCACCCCTCAGCCTTGCTCCTCCCCCAATGCATGAGCTGAGGAGCTCTTCATTCTCACCCTTTAGGACTGAGAAGTTGCTCATCCCCACTCACCTCTCTGGGGACAGGAACTTGCAAGAGTCGGGAGAAGTCAGAGGGCTGAGGGGTTGGTAGGACCCTGCGCTAGGTTCTGGCTACGGTGAGCACTGTGGGCAAACAAACAGTAAGGCGGGCCTGGACAGTCCAAGGGTGGTGGTGGCTGTTCCCTCACCTTCCTCCATCTGTCTATTAAGAGCTGACAAGGGGCCTGCCTTGGGCTAGACTTGGTCCCTGCCCTAGAGTGTCTGACAAGCAGACCAAGGTTCCACACAACAGGAGAGTGAACTAACCTGCTGGTCTGCCTGGGGAGTTGGGACAGGCTTCCTGGAGGACCTAGCCAGAAGCAGCACCAGGAAGGGAGGGTCTCCAGGCAGAGGGAGCAGAAATGAGGTGGGAGTGATGGCAGGACACAGCAGAGGCAGCCTGGAAGGCGTCAGCTCCTAGAAGTCTTGAACAATAGTGCGGTTTGTCCTTTCAAAGAAACAGGTGGAATCACTGGGGGCTATGATGATCCTGGAGCAGTCACAGCCCTTGAGGCCTCAATTTCCCCAGGTGTACAATGAAGATCTTTTCTCCAAATCTCCCCTCCTGCCCCCACCACCCTCACACATACATCTCCCTGAAGACGGTGCTCTCACAGGCAGTCTGATACTTGTCTCTCTCATGCAAGGGCTTTTTCTCAATCTCCTGGTCAGTTTTCAGTTTCCGGTCAGCCCCTTTGGGCTACAGAAGGGAGAGAAGGAAATCTCAGAGGCACCCTCTTTACCTGCTCACTTCTCATTACAGAAAGGGCTCTAAGAAAGAGATCAAGCCCCATCCCTCTGTGTACAGAGAAGGAAAGAGTCCCAGAGACAGGACCACAGGCTGAGGGTCTACAGCAAAGCATCCGCACAGCCGGTAAGGTAGGGGGACAGCCCTGAGAGGGAGGGGAGAAGGGCTCTGGTGCTGCCTGTACCTTAAACACCTTGATGAGGCAGCCCGCTGGATGCAGGTGTTCAGGCGGAAGCTCCTTGTCACCGGGTTTGAAAGTGTCAACTTGGAGGTGGAAGGGGACACCTTTCTCTCCACCTTTTTTCCGAGGAGTGAACTCAGTGCTGATGCAGTGAACCTGAGGTGGAGAAGTAAAGAGAAAGCAGGGTGACTCCAGGTCCCACTCACATTTTAGGGATTCCAACTAAAACCCCTTACCTGCCTGTCACCTGTCAGTCACTTTCCATCCCCAAGCAGTGTCTATTCTTAAAGTGTAACTTCTTTCGCTTGTTCAGAATCCTTCAGTGGCTCCACAAGGTTATGGGATGATAAGCAAAGTTCCTGACCCTGACATTCGAACTTTTTAAAGAGTCAAGCCAAGCTTTTCTGACTGGCTGCTTCTCCCCCACCACTGAACCCCACTGTCCCAATGAGCCAGCCTATGACCCCAACACACCTGCAGAGTTCTCCCTAGAATCTTCTACCTGGAAAGTTCTCTCTGCTCACATCTGAGCCAAGACATCCCATTCTAGGGTAGGGTTGCCAGTTAAAATACAAGATGACTAGTTAAATTTGCATTTCAGGTAAGCAACAAATACTTTTTTAGTATAAGTGTGTCCCAAGTATTACATGAGATATACTAAAAAAAAAATTATTTTAAATTCAAATTTAACTAAGTGTTCTGTATTTCATTTGCAAAATCTAGCAATCTATTCCAAGAAGCTTTCTTGGCCTGCGTCCCACATGGCCTGCAGGCTCTGTGTTCTGCCTGGCACCAGAATTCCAAGGGCAAGCGAGGTCTTCCTCTCTGTTCACATCCACCGCCCAATACAGCCCTCCCACAATCCTCTGAAGAACAGTTAAAGGATCTAACTTTACAGGTGGAGAAACTAAGGCTCACAGAGATTATTTGACCTGAGCAAGGTCCATGCAAGGAAGTGGTAGAACTGAAATTGTGCCATCTGTTTGACTCCTAACCCAGGTGCTTAGACAATGGTGGGCACTCAAAAAAAGGACAAGGTGTTTGATTATAAAGGGAAATCTATTCAATGTAGAAAATGTGGAGAACACTGAAAAATAAAGATATTTTTAAAAATATAAGCACAGGAATCTCCCATCACTCCATCCCTCAGATATATAGCACTGTTAACATTCAATTATTGTCTCTTTCTATCTTTTCTCTGGGCAAGAAAAAGGAAAAAAGACTTGTGTATACACACATTTTTATTTTTACAAAATAGAAATCAAACTTTAAATACAAGTTTGTATTCTGCCTTTTCTTACTTATAGGAAAGCAGTTTCTCTTGTCATGAACTGAGACATAATTTCGATGGCTACATAACCACCATTGTGAGCCTGTACTAATACTTATTTAAAAGTTGATCCTCTTCTGATGGGCATTTTAATTGTTTAAAATCTTTTATAGGATAAATTCCTTGAAGTAGAACTATTTGGTTAAAACGTATGAACATTAAATTTAATAAATTTTGCCCAAGTGCCACCCTACCTACAGAATAGGTGCACCAATCTGCATTCTCATGATTTGAGGGTGTCTGTTTCCCCAAACCTTACCAATAATAGTTTTTTAAAGTCTTTGCCAGTTACGTACATGAAATTTTAATTAGTATTTTATGAGGTTAAACTGTCTACATTTATTGACAATTTATATCCTTCTTATATAAATTGTCTGCTTATATCCTTTGCCTATTTTTCTATTGGGCTTTCATTTGTTTTGTTTTCTTATTGATTTATAAGAACTTTTTATATATTAAGGATATAACACATTATATGTAGCAACTATTTTTCCCATTTGGTCTCCTTTTAATTTTGATTTTGCCTGTGTATTGCATACCATTACTTTTTAGGAAGCTAAGTTGTGTCCTGGGTTTTGTAGTTTCTTCCATTGCTATAATGTTTAACGAGTCTTCCCTATGGTGAGATTCAATAAACACCTATCCATATTTCTTTTTTTTTTTTTAACACCTACAGCACCTGGTCTTCCTAAGTGGTCTCCCATCCAAGTACTAACCAGGCCCCGCCACCTTGCTTAGCTTCCGAGATCAGACGAGATCAGGCATGTTCAGGATGGCATGGCTGTAGATCTTATACATATTTCTTCCTCAAAGTACTTTCTGGAAGTGATTCATTCTTACTGTCCCCTCACCCTTACCCAAACTCACATTTCTTTCCCACCTAGGGTGCTGCCGCCCTTATCTGACCTCTGGCCTCGTCCCAGTCCCACCTTCAGACTCACCTGTTGGAAGAGGGAGATCCTCTTGGTTGGGTCCCAATGAAACTCCACCGTGTTGAGTTGTGAGGGCAGGATTTGGGGTTCTATTACTCCCACGGACAGTGGCACATCTGCAGGCATAGCTTCCAAACAGGTAGTAAGGCTCAGCCCTCCCATCCATAAGGGCTTCCAAGCCAGACAGTAGCCCTAAAGGGTCCTTGGTCCCTCCCCATTCACCAATGTCCAGGATTCGGTCCCCAGGCCAACTCCATCTCTACCCATCCAGCTGCTGCTGCTCCGTGTACTGCAGGTGCTGGTCATGGAACACCACACGCACCACACTCTGTGGGCACAGGAGGGTACAGCACATAGGTCAGAGGGTGCCTGGGCCTTTGGGAACCAGTTCCCACACCTGGGGTAGGCCAACCTTTCCATCCCTTCCCCCACCTTGCCTCCCTACACCCCCTGGGGGTATAGGACTTAGAATCACTAGATTTGTGTCCGGATGCCCACCTGCCATTCACAAGCTGTGAAACTGGGGAAGTAACTTAGAGACCTTGAGCCTCAGTTTCCTCATCTGTAAAATAGGGGAGTTAATACT